TTCCAACTCTTTGATTCTACGACAAGCTGGATGGCCATCTATCAGGAGAGCTTGAATGGCCTCCTTTATCATGGCAGAAGAGGGTTGGACTAGATGTCCATTGGGTGACCCTTCTATGATTCTATGACAGGCTGGATGTCTTTCTCTCGGGAGGGCTTGGATGGTGGCAGAAGGGGGTTGGACTGGATGTCCTTTGGAGGACACTTCCAACTCTTTGATTCTATGACAGGCTGGATGACCATCTGTCGGGAGGGCTTGGATGGTGGTAGAAGGGGGTTGGATTGGATGTCCTTTGGGGTTCCCCTCCAATGTCTAGACTGCTATAGGAGGAGGGTATGTGTGGGCTGACCCCTTCTGACCCTGTTCCCCCTGACCTCCCCTCTCTTTGCCCCCTTTGCAGGCCACCTGCGCTCTGCACGAGATCCTCTCCGTCCGAGAGTCCGGCCCGGCCGTGCTGGGCCTCTACGCGGAGCTCTTCGTGTCCCTCCTGCTCCGGGTCAGCTGCACGGTGGGCGTCCACCCGCCACGGAACCTGCCGCACAAGGACCGCAAGAGCCTCGGAGGCAAAGGCGGAGGGCAGGCCCCTCGCGCGCTGGACCCCTGCAGGTAGGCATGGCGGGAAGGGGCCCCCAGAGGTCATCCAGCCCAGCCCCTTTCGACCTAAGCAAAGCCCTCCCAACAAATGGTCATCTGAGCAACTGGTGTTGTGCCTCTGCTTGTAGTCTGTCTGCTCCAGCTGGAGGAGCCCTGTTTCCAGGCGGAAGGTGGTCCCGGTCAAGGTTGGCTTGACATGCCTTCCTCTTGGCACGTTTCTCCCTTTCGCCCTGCATTCGTGCCTCTTTGAATTATGCAGCACTGCTGGTCACAGCTGATCTCCAGCAGGAGCAAATGGTCATCTACCATATCCTGTGGCAGCAATGTGTCTTGGACTCTGGTTGCGGGAGCCCCGTATTTGTGCAGTTGCACAACAGAGGCTCTTCCTCCTCCGGCCATATGGAACTCATTTCGTGCATGTGTGTTTCCCCCCCTCTCTCTCTGCTCACGGATGCAATCACAAGTGCGCTTTCTGTGCGGCGCGATGGCGGGCGAACGCTCCACGGCCCATAACGCCGGCCTCCTTGTGGGGCAGGGATTAAGCCCTTCTTTTCCGCGGGCCCCTCTCCTCCCCTCCGCCAGGAAATATTAAATCGCGCTTCCTGCCGCAGACAAGAGGGGTTTTGCGGCCTGCCTCCGCATTCCTCCGGGTCGGGTTTCGGGGCTCGTTCCAGAGCACCGGAACGGCACACAACACAAAATGGTGCTTAGGAAGCATCTTCTCTGCACAAAAAGGGCTTGCATTTGTGCCCAAGACAGTCCCCGTTCCTCCCACACAAAGGAGAGGCCTGAACTGGCAGAACGGGGCTGGACTAGATGCCCTCTGGGGGACCCCATTTTGGAGAGGGTCCACCTTCAGCGCTTTGCACCCAGAGGATTCATCCACATATTTTTGGGGCTATTTTTAATTGGGTAGACATTGTTTGGGTTCTCTCCCTAAACAAAGAAACAAAGCATTAATAATAATAATAATAATAATAATAATAATAATAATAATTATTATTATTATTATTATTATTATTATTTGAAACACAACAAGATGAGTCCACAGCAGACACTCTGCTGTCTGCCTGTTTATCTTGTAGAAGAGAAGGTTGAGAGGAGACATGAGAGGAGCCGTGTATTGACATGTGAATGGGTGTCCTAAGGAAGAGGGAGCAGGCTTGTTTTGCACTACCCTGGAAACTAGGGTTCAAATGACAGGAAAGGACATTCCAGCTGAACTTTAGGAAGAACTTCCTGACTGTTCAACAGTGGAACTCCCTGCCCTAGTGTCTCGTGGAAGCTCCTTCCTTGGAGGCTTTGAAAAAGAGGCTGGATGGTCACCTGTTGGAGAGGCTTTGATTGTGCTTTTCCTGCATGGGAAGAACTTCATGACTGTTCAACAGTGGAACTCCCTGCCCTAGAGTATTGTGGAAGATCCTCTTTGAAACATGGGCTGGATGGCCACCTGTTAGAGGGGCTTTGATTGTGCTCTTCCTGCATGGGAA